TGATTGTTCTTCATTCTCGTCAATTTTGCCTAGCGTAACCAATGCACTTTATTTTTCTTGTCAACTTGATTCCATCAATACCTGTTAATCATGGGATTCAGTTCTTCACACATGTCTTTAGTGATGTCAAAACAAGCCATGGTGTAAACAAGATTTGTTTGTGTTGTGGCTTTTATTAAGGTTTCCTTCCCTGGCTTTGAAAGCGACTTCTCCTTCCAGCCTTGGATCTTTTTCCAAATTCTTTTCTTCACATATTCAAAAACCTTCGCTTTCGCTTGCCCTACATATGTTGGAACGCCCAGATATTTTCATCATAGACCCACAACCGAGATCTGCAAGATGTCCCTCATTTCTTGTTTTTGTTGTACCTTCGTTTTTCTACCAAACAAGATAGATGACTTAAGTCTTTATTAATCACTTGACCAGAGCAGACTTCATATGCGTTCAAAATGCGGTTAACTTCTTGGGCATTACTTGAATTTGCCTCCATCAACAGCAATGAATCATCTACAAAAAGGTGGCTGACACTAGGGGCTCCCCTACAGATTTTGATTCATGTGAGTGAACCATTCAGTTCAGCCTTGTGATGCATGGCCAAGAACCCCTCTGCACAGATCAGGAAAAGATCTGGCAAGAGAAGAACTTCATGGGGTATAATTGTCTCAGTGACATGTTGACTTTGATCTGGTAGCACAGCCCCTGACGGCGACGCTCGAGCTGCTTGGCCGGGGTGAGCCGACGGAAGGGGCGCGTCGGGCGCCGCGGGGGCCTGGGCCGGACGCCCCGACGCTGGTGGTGTCGGTTGCGGCCGGGTGGGCTGTCGGGCGCCCCGGGACGGTGACGCCTGCTGCATGGCCACCACGCGACGCTCGAAGGCGCGGGCATAGTACATGGCCGTCTGGAGGTCCTGTGGTCCCTGCATCTCCACGTCCAGGCGGATATGATCCGGCAGACCGCCAACGAAGAGCTCGGCCCGCTGGCGAGCCGTCACGCCGGGCGCGTTGCACGCCAGGGCCTGGAAGCGCTCGGCGAAGTCCTGCACCGTAGAGGTGAAGGGTAGGCGCCCAAGCTCCACCAGCTGGCTCCCGTGTATCGGCGCCCGAAGCGTAAGAGGCAAAGCTCGCGGAAACGCTCCCATGGGGGCATGCCGCCCTCGTCCTTCTCGAGGGCGTAATACCACGTCTGTGCAGCGCCTCGGAGGTGATAGGAGGCGATCCAGGTGCGGTCGGACGCGAGCGTGCGTTGCCCCCTGAAAAACTGGCCACACTGATTGAGCCAGTTCAGGGGTCCACGGTGCCGTCGTAGGTGGCAAACTCAAGCTTGGAGAAGCGCGGCGGCGTCTGGCCGTGGACGACGGAGGGGTACACCTCATCGGTGCGGAGCAGCGAGGACGCCGCCGCCGAGTAGGTGAGCTTCAGAGGGCCACCCTGGAACAAGGGCCCGTTGACGCCGGCGTAGGGGTCAGCGGAGCCTGAGGGCCCATCGAACTGGATGGCCGAGGGCGGCACCTGCGGGGGCAGCACGTGCGGCTGTCCGGAGGCCGTCGTGTAGACAGGCTCGAGGGACCCGGCGAGCCAGGCCGGTAGCAGTGATGGCGATGGAGGGAACCAAACCTGGTGGATGGGCACCCCCTGAGCCGTCGTTGGGGCGCCCTGGGTCGAGGTTGCCGGCAGCGGCGGCGGCAGCGCCATGGTGGGAGCGATGGAGGGCTGTTGCTGCTGCATGGTGGAGGCGCCGATGTGCGCCGCGGGTGGCGGCTGCTGCGCGGCGGAGGCGAAGGGGGTCGCTGAGGGGGGCGGCTGCCACGGCGGCAACTGCGGCGCGGTGGCGAAGGGCCTAGGCGGCTGCGGCCCGTAGGGGCTTGCGAGGAAGGTGCGGATGCCCGCGACCGCCTGGGTGAGGTTTCAGAGGGCAGCCGTCATCTCCTCCGGGGTGAAGACGACGGGGGTGGCGATCGGCGGCGTCCAGGCGGAAGAGGACATCGGGCCCGACAAGGACGGCGCCCCAGCCGCGGAGGTGGCCGGTGGCGTGGTGGTGGTCGGCGGCGGGAGCGTGGCGGTGGGAAGAGATGTAGACATGACCGATCCCGAGACAACTGATATCAGATTGATAGGAGTTGGGATCCTACCAGGCCTAGCTCTTAGGTTGTAGGGGTGGAAGGGAGGGTGGCGAGGAGCTTGGCGCGACGGCGTCGTGGTCGCGCTGTGGAGGACGAGATGGTGCAGGAGGCGGGTAGGGTTAGGGTTCCGGCTCCTGAAGGGAGCCGGGCAATAGTTATGACTTATTGCTTAATTCCAAAACGTGGCCTTACAAGTGTTTATCTAATCCTTGAGGTGCTAATAAAAATAAAGATAAGTTGGGCTAAGCCCCTAACTAGACGCGCCATTGGGCCTCCTTCGGCTATAAGTGACGCCGGTCATAACAGGCGCATTCTCTAGGAACTCTAGAGCGCTCCGCCAAGGACGCATTCACCTGATAAGTCCCGAAACTACTCTTTCACCTCAAGTGCGCTTTGTCAATGGCGCATTCTCGCCTACAGCTATGAACATACACCCACCATTTCCATGAGTCACTCGGCACCCAAACCACGTCTACCATAACAAGGCTAAGCATGATATTACATAATACAAACAGTACACACATATGGCGACAAGGAAATGCATAGTAAATATAGGATGTGTATCGTCAGAAGAGAATTTGCTTTTAGCCGATGAAGAATTAATATCTCGTTGATGTAGTAATGCTCTCCGGAATTTACTCGCGATTTATACTGGAAGTGATTGCAATCAAATAGACCCGAAATTCAAATAAAGAACCAAATGAACAACAAACATTATATAATATAGATATTCAAAAGGAATATGATAGATGGAACTCTTACGGTGTAGATACAAAGCACATTGATTTGGATCAATAATATAGATAATCTCTTGTTGACAAAATGGAGCAAAGAGAAATTTTGCCGGGAAAGTGGACGGCAGGCCTCTGGATTGGATTTGCAGTTGAAAAATGCCTGTTTTGAATGAATGACATAAGTGGATGTGCCTCGTGAAACGGATCATGAGAATATCCTCGATTTTGCCGGAAGTGCACCATCTTTGAAATTTAGATGGCTCTGGTGTAGGTTGGCTCGAACTAGATAGATCCAACTGCCCCAAACAGAAAAGTTTCAGCATAAACATTGTGTAGATCGTTGATTTGAAGCTACTCGTAGAAGGAATTTGAAAAAGAACAAACAAGTGCAACAAATTTGATGAATTCGTGTGGAAATACCTCTGAACTAGATTACAAAATTGGAGAGATATGATTGACGAAACATGAATTTCTTTCTCTGAATGGATTTGTCTTGATGAGGAGAAACTTCTTCGTATTGAAGTCCTTCCTATCCGATGAAGTTTTTTAGGTCGATTCGTTGAATCTCCTGTCCAGGAAGCGCTGGGTTTCGGCTGTGCTGAGAAGACAATGGAGCGGCTACAGATTGTTTAGGTGCCGAAAAAGGGACAAAAGTAGTACATGGTCAAATATTTATTGGTGGAGGAGAGATGGATATGCGTGGCTTGCATGAAAGAAAACAAGGCGGTGGCACATCGTGTTCTTACAAGATTTCCTGAGAAGGAAGGAAAGCAACGAGCCTACATGAGCTCGGGATACTGTTGGGCCAGCAGCAAGCAGCCCAATAGAAAGAAAATAAAACAAAGGGAGAAGGACAGTGGGCTCAGCCCAGTTAAAGGATAGAGAGAGAGAGGCATGCCTGTGCTGCGCGCATAGTGTTGGACTGTTTTCTTATTACTAGATAATAGGAAATTGACTGGTTAAATAAAATACCAAATCACTTTCAGAAATATTACAAAACTATAATTACTAATATAGAGCACAGAAAAGATATTTCCACCTCAAATATTAAATATACCACATATAATATTTCTATAAGCTACATTTTGTGCTTTATCAATATTCCTTAAAATTAATTTAGGGTTCTAGACAATTCCGTAAATATTTTCTAAGTCCAAATAAATAGCCAAAAAAATAATTAAAGTATTTGCAACCTATTATTTTGAAGAAGTCGTATTATCGCCTCTCGTGATTGTTTTGAATATTTGTAAAGACCCAATTTAAAATCCAAAAATAAACTTTTGGGAAAATCCTTTTATTCCCTTTCATTTGAACATTCATTTAACTCCAAGAAAATGCACATCCTAGTCAAAATTAACTAAAAGCAAGCAACACAAGCAAGTTTTAATTAATCCTATTAAAATAAATAACATTCCAAATTTGAAAATTTTGGGATGTTACAGTGCAATTCCACTCAAGTGTGTCAACAGTTTGGGGATTTTGGATGGATATAAGTTTGTGCCTTCCAAACTATTTGAAAGTTCTGTATGCTGTGCTCCTGCTATATTCAATCGGTATTCCTTTAACAGGTTTAGAGAATTAGCATGACACATGTCCCCAGGCTGCATTTATACACCATGTTCGGCTTCCCTACCACGTATTCCACTTTGGTCTTCTTATTTTGGTCAAAATTTTCGTTCTACTCTGAACCATAATAATTGTACTAGCAAAAGTTGCCTGAAATTCCAAAATCCACACATCGCATGGTATCTCTTCGCCAGACTCACCTGAACTAAGAACTCTGCCAGCCGCACCATGCGTGGATTTTGGAAGTTCACGTGACATGTGCACACAGATACACCACCTGTCAAATAACTACTTAAATATCTGCATGTGTTTCTGAAATTAGTCAAGACACGTGCCCTATTTTGTGAGGACTTGGCCCTTCCATGGTTTTGGTGGTACAAACTTAGCTGCTCATGCTAGCATATTGAAACTGGCACAAATCATCACTCATTTTGTGTCTTTGTATTTTAGGAAGTTGCAACTATGATTTTTTCCTAATCATCTAGCACCAGGAACAGTGTGTAGATTTTAGAAGGCAATGGTTTTGGATGTTAATGTGCACCTTGGTATTTTCGTGCAACTGACATTTTTTCTCCTTTCAGGTGCTCAGGGACCACAACTGCAAAAGGTGTTAGAGAGGTTCACTGGACAGTCCACCGTCCCTAATGTTTTCATTGGTATGTAAAGAAGAAGAAAATCAACCTTGTGTTTTTCTCCTTTGTTTATCACCTTAGTATCGTAAATACTTTATGGTTTCTCCTCAAATTAACAAGGAATATCTCTAGTGGATGTGTTCAGTAAGCATAGATAGACATATGCACATTTGCCCTTTGCCTTGCCTGTTACAATTTGTCTTGCTGGAATTCACGTACATATATGCTGTGATTTCAGTTCAGGTGTTGCGTGCAGATTTCTGACCAATTGTTTTATGTTGTTTCAGGTGGAAAGCACATTGGTGGCTGTACAGGTACTTATGCATGTGCTGTGTGTTGAATTCTGATCAGTCTTTACAGTCATACTGCAAATATGTCAAGTGATATCTGTGTCCCTGTATAAATAGTTCGGATTGTATTGTGCATGCTAACTTCATGATATGTTCCAGTGCTCCTAAGGTATTTTTGTGTTATGTGAAAAAACATGGTTCCTTTTCTTCCTTGCTTCTGTCTTTGATTCAGTCACGGTTCATATTCTGCTCACGTTCAGAGTACAACCACAGTGGAAGGATATAAAGTAGGTGATCATGAATCATGCTCTGTAACTAGTTCAACAAGATTACATTTGATTTTATCTGCTGGCTATCTGCATTGCAAGGTGGGTCACTGGCAATTAGCACCCATCTCCCGTGAAGGCTTTATCTTGCATACTAGGTTGCATCTATTTAGCAGAAAAAAACTCTAAATACAAGGATGACATATTCTTTGACAGCTCGTTTGGCACCCTTCTTTTCATTTCATTTGGTAGAAATGGAATGAAATGAAATCTTTGCTGGGATTTCATTTGGTGGAATGGAAATCCAATTGCAAAAAAACATGTTTGGCTGCCACAAGGATTTGTACATTGAAATGACTCCCAATAGCATGTGTAGTTTCAATCTCACTGTACTACTCAGTAATAGCGTGTTGTACATGCTAGTAGAAAGGAGGCGCTTTCTTGGCTGGTGGTCAGGAGCCTTGTAGAGTGACATGTTTGTCAGGAGCACGTGTCAGGCCCGAGCTAATCTACCACTCGATTTAAGACAGTATGTGAAAGAAATCAAGGTAGAACTCAGATCTGAGGTGTATTATAGCTGTATGAGGAGCAGTGGTGATGTAGGGTGGAACCCTATGGGCCGATCTTTCACAATTTGGAGGGGTATTCCCGAAGAACATGAAGAACACGACGAACACAAGAGAGGGAAAACACTGAAATCAACGAGATTCAATTACACATGTGCTAGATCCAAGTACAAAAAGAGAGATACACGATCCAAATCCAAGAAAGGAGGATACACGGTAGCTAGTTCATCCCAATCCGTGAGGAAAGAGGTCTTGAATCCACGAGGGGATCTTCCCTAGACGCGGTCTTGAATCCACTTGGGGAATCTTCTCCTCGGAGGCCTTGATCTCCAAAGGAGTAGGTAACAGGTGGATGAGCAAAGCTCTATCTTTAAAAGCTATCACAATGCTAACCCTAAAATGGTGGAGTATATATAGTCTAGGGGGGCGAAGGAGTACATGGGCCTCGGCCCAAATCATGCATGCAGGCACCGTCCGGATGATCCGGATGTTGGTCTGGATGATCCGGGCTTCGTGGTCTCGATGGTCCGGGGCAGCGTCCGGATGATCCGGACGTGTTGTGCTGGTTGTCCGGATGTCCGGGTCCTGGTCCGTCCGAATGATCCGGCTTCGTCGGGGGTCTTGCTGTTCTCATGTCGCGTTGTAGCCGGATCGTCCAGGCCGGGGTTTGGATCGTCCGGTCTGGGGCTGGATCATCCGGACGGCGGTCCGGATCGTCCGAGCAAGTCCTGACTTGGCCTTTTTCTCCTCCGTCTTCGTGATTGCTTCTCTCCTTCAATTGTACTTGCTCCTTAGCTTCTCCATGGCTAGCTCCTTGGTACCTGAGTATGCAAAGTGTTTTCGCTTGAGGTAGTAGCCATGTCTCGTGTGATTCGAAAGGGAGTTGTGAGAGGAGTGATGTCACTTCGGTCTCGAGAGGTCTTGCACGTGTACGTGTCATGGGCCCACTTGGCACTTGGTGAGACGACGGTAGGTCCATGGGGATGACCTTGGGATGTTCCGCATCAAGTGGTATCTAGGGTTCTAGCCCATAGTTGGCAATTGGAAGAATTCAAAATAATCCCCACGCCAGCCACAACCCGGCTGTTAAGTAGGCTGAGCTTTAGAGCTAACGGTGAAAAGTAAATGAAGGGGTACAGTAAACGGTAACATATCCAATGGTGGCGACTGGACGCAGTGAAGGAGCTACCGTGGGCCGTCTGATACTCTGAATCGGTATTTGCCAGCTAGGCTACACCTAACTGAACTGTTAACTGAAGATGCAGGTTCAGAATCTAACAACGAGCTCATCATCCCGCAGTCTGAGCCGTGCCATGGTGTCAGCAGGCACGCGCACGAACCCCTGCTAGGTGACGAACTTGAGCACGCCGCAGCGGGAGGTGTGCAAGGTGGCAGCGTTCTGGACCTGGAACGCTAGCAGGTACTCCACCTGCACCCAGCTAATCCGGTCCAGCGCCAACTGCGGCATGACGAACCGGTTGTCGTCGTCCGTGCCCTCCATGCCCAACAGCGGCATGGGCCTGCACCTGTAGTACTGCACGAACCGGCAGCGCAAAACTGCTGTTGCCCGAGGTACGCCTGCCACACCTTCTCCTCCCTCGCCTCGTCCTCCTTGTTGTTCCAGTTCGATAACAAGGAGCCGCTGCCCGCGCCCTTGCCGGTGAAGGTCACCACCACCTGCCAAGACAGCGCCTCCTTTCATTCTAAGGAAGAGGGAAAGGGTGTGTGAGAGAGAAGGGATGGGAGGAGAAGCGGAGGAGGAGAATTACCTGGGAGGCAAGGTGAATCGAGCTGTGAAGCTCAGCGGCCGTGAGATGAGATCGCAAAGCAACAAGGGGGAGGGGACGTAGCAACAGGGGTTTGGGGTGGAAACAAGAGTCAGTGAAGGAGAGGGACGTGGAAAGGAGGCTCGAATCAGGGGAAGGCTCGCCGTCGGCGCCTGGTGGCGGCAGCTGTGGTGGCCGTCGGGGGAGGGTGCGAAGGGATACGAGGGTGTCAGGATGAAGGGGGCGAGTGAAATCCAAGAGAATGGCGAGTGAGGGGCTGAGATTTGTGTTGGCAAAGCTTATGTTAGATTGTGTAAAATATGTAGCCTTCGTACAAGTCTTGTATTCTGTATTGTACACTTTCATGTACCCCTTATATATATGAGATAGCCACACCCGTGTACCCCTTATATATATATATATATATATATGAGGTAGCCACACCCGTTAAGGTTGTTGAGCATTTTCCCAAACCCTAAGTTTAACATGGTATCAACCCAGATTGGTCCTATGTCTTCCGCTGCCGCCCCAAGCCCGATCGCCACCGCCGCCGCGCCTGCCTCTGCCACGGCCACTCCTTCGCCGTTCCTGTCTTCTCATCCGCTGGCCTTGGTCTACTCTGGCCCGTCATCAATGGCCGACACTTCCTCAGATCAGTCGCCGCCGCCGGTTCTGTTCGCCCCTCCTTCGTCTGGGGCGGGCTATGGCAATTCTGCACCTGCACCACTGGCGTCCTATGGCGCTTTCTACACAGCGCCCGTGGTGCTGTACGCGGCTCCGCCTGCATCTCCTCACCACCTCGCGCCCGCGGCTCCTTGGCCTATCCATGCAACGCCCGGGGGCACTACGCGGCTTCGCCCGCGATTCTGCCTGCGGCGTACTACGCGGGTCCGCTCGCGATTCCGTCCGCGGTGCCCAACGCGGGTCGGCCCTCAATTCCTCACAGCGCAGCGCCCACAGTGTCTTACACGGCGGTGCTCGTGACTCCCTCCAGCGCTGCTGACGCGGCTCCCTTCAGCGCAACGCCGCCGTCGGTCTTTGGCGGGTACCAGTCGATTCCTCCGACCACGTCATATCACGGCGCATCTGGTGGTGCTCCGCATCAGGGCTACTACACGCCGCCCTATGTTGCTGCGCCGTCTTTGCCGGATTATGTCACCGGTGCTGCACCGTTCTACTTCGCGCACCTCATCCCGGTGAAACTCACGACGGATAACTATTTGTCGTGGCGTGCGCAGGTGTTGCCGCTCCTTCGCAGCCGCTACCTAGAGGGTTACATTGATGGCATACTACCGTGTCCTCCGCCGCATCATTCGGCGTATCATGCATGGGTGGCTCAAGATCAAGCCATCCTCTCTACGATTCAGTCCTCTCTCACCAATGGGGTTTCGTCGCTGGTCCTCTTCGCTGCCAGCTCTCGGGAGGCGTGGTCTGCTCTGCACACGAGTTTCGCGTCTCAGCAGCAGGCGCGTGCTCATGTCATCCGCATGGAGCTTGGGGAGACCAAGCTTCTTGACCTCAGCATCAGCGACTACTTCGGCAAGATGACGCGCTTCGCACACTCTGGCCTCCATTGGCCAGCCTCTTCGTCCCGAGGATTTCACCACCTTTGCGATGAACGGGTTGGATGACGACTATGATAACCTCGACGAGAACATCAATGGTCGTGACACCCTGCTCCAGCCCTGTGAGCTCTACTCACGCCTCCTCGCCACGGAACAACGCGTGAAGTCCCGTCGTCCCAACCCAAGCTTTGCTTCTGCAAATGCCGCCACTCGCGGCAAAGGGAAGCCCTACAAGCCACCTGCTGGAGGCAAGGTGGTGCCTTCGACTCCACCGACCTCGCGCCCACCCGCGGCCGGCCCCATGCCCACGACCGGGGGTGGCCGTCCGTGTGCTTATTGCCCCTCATGCGGGGTCCAGCTCCCTTGCCAGCTCTATGGTCTTCCGGGGCACATCGCCTCTCGCAGTCATTGCCGCTTTAAACGGGACTTCCTTGGCATCGACAACAACAACAAAGGCAATGATAAGCAGGCTGCCTTGGCCACTCATGAGCATGGACACACTCCATCATATCCGTACATGGTACATGGATACGGGCGCTGCTCATCACCTCACGAGTGAGATGGGCAAGCTCTCCACTCAGGAGCCATATCGTGGTCATGATCAGGTTCGCACCGCCAACCGAGCAGGTATGCACACATCACATGTTGGTCAGGCTTCTCTTCTTACTCATAAACCTAAACAGTTACATCTTCTCAATGTCCTTCGAGTTCCTTCCGCTACACGTAGTTTGTTGTTTGTTCCTAAGCTTACTCGTGATAATAATGTTTCACCGAGTTTCATCCTTTCCATTGTTTTGTCAAGGACCGGGACACAAGGGACGTTCTTCTTAGAGGTCGCCTGCGCCATGGACTTTATGCCCT